AGAATGGAATGATTTCGATGAATTGCGTGAGTGACCTCAACTCGAGTTTTATACTAGAAGTAATAGCAAGACGCCTACCTACTCGACTGCAAAGGAAGTGGGTGAAGATGAGCTCCCGTATGGAGGATCAGGGTATCGAGCCAAAGTTTGATGATATCCTGAAACTGGTAAATACTAGTGTCAATCAATCTATGAGCAAGTTTTCCAGTCTATTACATCTCACCCCTAGAATAGAGCAGTCTGAGATCAAAATGCAATCATTGATGACGAATAGGCCTCAGAGAGGTGGATATCGAGAAGGCTCCATGATGTCTAGTAATGCATATAAACTTAGTGAGTGCAACAGGTTTCGTAGTACATCCTCAACAGATAAGTTGCAAGATGCAAGACAAACACGGTTGTGTTTCACACGTTTGCAAGAGGTGCATACAAAGGTGAACTGTGAATCAGTGAGCAAGTTCAGTGATAAGCTAAATGTGAAATCCAGGTCTGACTCCGAATTGTGTGACGATAACGGTGTGGTCAAGAAGTCTGTAGTTGCAACTGGTAAGCCATTGTTGAATAGAGTGTCACAGAATAGAGTTGCTGCTTCAGAGTCCAGTTCTGACCCTACAAGTTTACAAGGTATTACTAGTCAGAGTGAAGATATAAAACCTTTAATGATTTGTGAGGAGGAACCAAAATTGTCTACTTCTGTTATTAAAGAGTTTGAAAATGATGAAGTTGACGGTAAATTGAATATTTGTGGTAATGATCATGATAGTGCAGAGTTCTCTTTGGTTGATCATGATGAGATGAGGGATATGCCTACTACTGCTAAGTTGAACAAAGTTGCTGTACAACTTGAACGTGAAGTAGAAATAAATGGAGGTGCAGTTGCAGAAGGCATGCATACTTGTGAGACCGTCAGTGTAAGTGATCAGCATGTAGCCCACCTATCATCAGATGCTAGTGCTAAACCTGAGCTGATAGTAAAAGACAGCAGTGGTGGTGGTCTTGCAGTTAGACAAATTTCTGAAAGTCGAGCAACAACAGCTTTTGATCCACCGCTAACTTCATCAACTGATATCAATCAGTCGTCGTTGGTGCTGTCATCCACAATGAAACAGACGCCCATCAACTCAAGTATCTTGTGCAATGACTATGATAGTATCAGTTCGTTTGAAAGGACGAATATCAATGGTCAGTTTAGTGTGGATAAGCCAAGTGTAAACGAGAGAGTATTTGTTAAATTGACTTGCACGAATAAAGGCATTTCTAGTTTCAAGTTACTATTTGAATGCTATTATCTTTGGTGTAAATTACTCTGTTTTTACACTTGGTTGATGAGATATGTCGTGTGTTTGTTCGTCATCTATATTCTACGATACAATGACATGGGCGTGTTACCGTTCAGATTTGAGGATATAGCTCATAGAAGGAAGTTAGCAAATGAACTCTGCGACGATTTTCCAACCTAGAGCGTCAACCTGAGAAGGGTTGTAGGCGTACTGCTGTAAGTCCTACAATTCTTCAAAGGGTAGCGCATCAATGAGCAGCCCAATGTGCTCGGTGTGTGATTTTGTACATATGTTCATATTGCATATACTGAATTGATATCATGTCATCTAGCTGTTGGTAATTCTGTTTGTGTCCGGACGACTTCCACTTGGATCATCAACCTGAGAAGGAATGTAGGCGTACTGCTGTAAGTCCTACAGTTCTTCAAGGGTAGTTTGTCGTGCCAGAATCCACAACATTTGATGTGTTGATTGTACTTATGTTTGTGTTAAATAATTGTATGAGTTCCAATTGATGTAATTGTTGGTTAATCTTGTTTGTGTCCGGACATTCCACAAATTACAATCGTCAACCTGAGAAGGTTTGTAGGCGTACTGGTGTAAGTCCTGCAATTCTTCAAAGGAATTCCACCAAGACATGATCGGCGAGGTTGTTTGTACTATTTGTATATACGTGTGGTGTGTCATAGCAATTGGTGTATTTTGGATTCATTGTGTTTACTTGTTGTTTTCGTATCTTGTTGTTATTGCGTAATTTTGTTAAAATTTTCGTCGTGATTATTTCTGAAGTTGTTTCGAGTCTTCTACATCCATGAATGAATTGATTGATGTTAAGGACAGCAGATGGGTCGTATACGCCGGGGAGGCTAGGCTATTGCTGAGAATGAAATGCACACGGAGATAATTGTTAGCTGCGGTCCGACACGCCGGGGAGAAAGAGTGTAAACGACTGAGGCTCGCATGCGTCACCGCTACTAGAACTGAGGCAGAATGAGTGACAAGCGATTTCAGTGATAATTGATAGTGAATAGAAAAGAGGATGCTTGAAGTGTATCATGAGGTGGTGCTATGGTCACGTTGCATTCTGCAAGAGTCATTCTAGCAAGTGGCGATTGTGTTGCAAGATGTCAAGAGGAGGTCTCTATCTGCAGGCGCAGGTTGTCATTGATGTGTGAGATTGTGCTGTGGGTATTCCTGTGGTGTGTTGGCTTTTCTGTTTGTTTTCCATTTCAGCTCTGTCCGTGTGACCCAGGTTCTCGCAATGGCATCCGAGTCAACTTGTATTGGTCGTGAAGGAAAAAAGGGTTGGATCCCTTTTTTTCCGGGGAGTGTCAATGGAGTTGAAGATTGAACGATCAATTCTTGGTTGTTTGCTCAGAACCAACTCCCCCAATTTTCCTGGAGGCATCAATACGACAGTCATCGTCTCGTCGGTCGCTGTTCAGAAAGAAGAGTGAAACATCGTCAGAAACCTTAGTTCACTTATTCCTTTTATATGTTGGTGTAACAATAAAGAAATCTCAAGCGACAGATCGGTGTTTTGGCTTTTTCGTCCGTTATAACTAAGCGTTTCTGAAAACTTCAAGGAACAGCGTGGGCCCGAGCGTAGCGAGAGCTGGGCATTAACGGTTGACAGGATCATTTCTGAAAGCATAATAAACTTCATACGCAATTCCTTAAGAAATGAAGAGGTATAATGTATGAACTACTGGTAGGGAAACGGCACACTATCACATCGTTCTACAATCAGAAGTTAGAAACTATATTAAAATGATACCATTGCGAAAAGATTACGATTGAATATGCACCAAAATTTACAAATATTAACGAATTACAACTTGTGAACAATAGTAGTCATGGTTGACTACAAAATAGTTTAAAACAATGAGGAACCTTATGCTCATGTTTACAACTTCTGGAGCTGTCGCTCATTGATCTAGGGACCCCTTGACATCCAGCAACTGGATTACGAGCTCATACCCAGTTGCATTTAGACAGGAAGATAGTATCACTATCCTAAACAAAATATATCTGGCTCATTTTCAGCTGCAGGGAAATTCAAATAATTGTTGAGTAACACTTCATTTCTCATCTTACTAAAAGATAATAAAAGGTCAGTGGTAATATAAACATAGGGCAAAACCTATATAGTACCTAGGGACTGAAAAGCATTAACATTGCTCACACTATGAATTTAAAACTGTAGAGTAGAATTTTTTTAGATGAAACATGATACACAGTAATCATGAAGTGGGTTTGCTAAATAAGGAAGAGACGGCTGTACACAACATTTCTACACACAAACGGTACGATTTTTCACTCGAATGCTTAAAACACTGCAATATTGTAAGAACTGAATACGAACTCTATTGTTGAGCTTGGTTCAGACATAAATTATTTTCAAGACTTTCCTTACTCTTACTACATGAACAACCAACGAGAAAACAACGAATTAGGACAAATAATTGATTTTACTTGTCATCAATCCAGTCACAAGACACATTTAAAGCTAGTACTAGTAATATATATATATGTGAAAGTAGGAAAAATAAGAAGCTTCTTCACCATCTGAATCATAACAATCGATTGACGGTGAAATAATAAAGGATACAGAGGTCGACTACCAATCTAATGTACAAAATAGAAATGGTTGCCAAAACATAGTGCGTCGGTGACACAGCATTAGAATGCTCGCCAACTACGCATGTGATTCAGGTTCGATCCCCCTCGACGCACTCTTTTACCTCGTTAAACCGGTAATAAGGCTGATAATAAAGGAAGGTCGACCATGAGGCTAGCAGCCCAATTCCATGAAAATAAATACCACTGCTACCGAAACTTCAAAGCTCTAACTTGAAGCCCTATGTCCCACTAGGAACGTAAAGGAATAAAATGAAATGAATTATTGAGTGACTCAATATTCCTAATCGATACCAACACCAAGACATAATTGTAATATATAAAATACAAAACTTGTTTTCTGTACAAAGGTTTTCATGAGTTGATTGATAAAAACTTTCTCCTCAAAGTTACGTGAATACAAGTAGTTCGTAAGAAGCTTTGCACCTATATATTGCGTACAAGAAAGCCTGTTAACCCCATGTGAATCGACGTCCACAAGCACACTGCATAAATGATGAAAAATGAAATTCACTCAGATTTCAAGACGAAACAGTATGACAATGGTAAAGCTTCGGGGTAACAAGAACAATATACACACTTTCCGTTTCCTAAACTTCGAAGTGACCAGAAAAACAATATTTCAGGTAGTGAAATCAGATAGAAAATATATCAAACACAAAAATGTTTCACCATAATAATAACAAGGAATCAATAACACTTACAGGGTAACCTCTAGTAATAGGCTGTCGTATAGCGAATACTAACATTTTGGCTAATATACATGTGGCCGGAGGAATGGGATTATCGGGATCAGTAATTAAATCACCAGGAATTAAAGCTTGAAATAGATCTATGTCCGCCAACATTAATGCCACCTGATCACCGGCGAATGCAAATTTTACCACCTGATCTAACAGTTTTCCGCCAAGATCACCTGATATGATTAGAATAAAATAAGGTTTTCATGTGGTTATATGTTTATCTATTGTTTGCGCTTACAAGTACTGTAAAAAGTTGACTGTCTCAAAGTTTAAAATTCACTGCATAATTTAGATACACAATGACTACTGGATTTACGTTACACTAGATACAAGTGAAGCGCGCTTTTTGACTAGTGGGTTACTTTTTGCTGTGTTATATAAAACTCTCATTTCTTTGTTGTTGCCCACCAAAAAGTTCTGGAAATTATTGCAATCCGTTTACTTTCGGACACTTAACCTCTGGATATAATATCATCGACTACTAATATCTATAACAAAGTTTTTTACATATGTGACTATTAACAATAACTCATATCTATAATTGTATATATTGTTGGATTTATATGTTCAAGTTGGTCCAAGTCAGTGTGTCTGTGGTTTTGGTATCATTTTAGTTAACTGTGCTGAACTATATTGCATGTTGTTGTATTGTATCGTTGTCGCTTTTTGCTGTGAATTGTTTTCCTCTTGCTAGTGTTGTTTTGATTGTTTTATCCCGTTTTCCGATTTTAAGGGGAGCAACCCAAAAGGTCGCTTCTCTCTAAACTTTATCTTAATGTAACAATTGCTTTCCTAGGCATGAGGCTAGCAACCCCACCCTGTAAACAAAGTTGCTACAGGAACTTCAGCACGATGAATCTCTGTGCGGCTAAAGAAAAAGTCTATGTGGGGACATGGAACGTTCGCACTATGTACTAGACTTGGAAAGCTGACCAGATCGCAAACGAGATGAAAAGATACGGAATTCAAGTACTGGGAATATGTAAAAGCAGATGGAATGGGGATGGACTCATCAAATTGTCATCGGGTGAGTCAGTGATCTACTTCGGTCACCCAGAAGATAACTACACGCACACTGAGGGCGTGGCTATCATAATTTCACCAACGGCAACAAAGGCCCTGATGCAATGAGAGGCGATCTCGTCCAGGATAATGACCGCCAGATTCAACTCCAAAGGAAGGAAAGTGTCAATCATACAATGTTATGCACCCACAAACAACGCAGACCTCGAAAAGAAAGAAGAATTCTACAGACAACTACAGGCTACAATGGACAATACTCCAGCTAGTGACATTAAAATACCAATGGGAGACATGAACGCCAAACTGGGACCAGACAACACAGGAAGGGAACTCATCATGGGTAGAGAAGCTCTCGGAGAGGTAAATGAAAATGGAGAACTCTTCGCCGACTTCCGCGCCTTCAACCAACTAGTGATTGGTGGCAGCGTATACAAACACAAAGATATCCACAAGGCTACATGGGTGTCACCAGATGGGCAAACCAAAACCAAATTGACTTCATCTCAATACTGCTCAAGGAATTTGAGGCACAGCCTACTGGACAAAAAAGTAAGAAGAGGAGCAGACGTTGGCTCAGACCACTATCTCGTACAAGGGACAATCCAAATCAAATTAAAAGCTTTCAGGGAATCAGGAGCTGCAGATAGACCACAAGCCAAGTTCAACACTTAAAAACTGAAGGACCAAGATACAAACGACATCATCATTGCAAGCATAAGGGACAAAGCCAAGGCACATTTTTTTTTTAGCGAAGATGTCGGCGTCGAAAAGCACTGGAACAACTTGAAAACGGTGTGGAGTCAAACCTGCATGGAAGTTCTAGGCAGAAAGAAGAGACAGGACAAACATTGGCTCACTATGGACACTTGGAAACTAATAGAAGAGAGAAGGATAGTGAAACAAAAGATTATCCAGTGCACCGATGAGCAACAAAAACAGGAGTTGAATGCAAGCTACAATACATTGAACAAAAGAGTAAAGAAGAGTGCCAGGGAAGACAAAAGAAAATATTATGAAGCCATGGAAATGAATCAGAACAAGCTGCAGGCAAAGGAGACCTCGCCACACTCTACCAAACAACTAGGCACCTATCGGGAAAAAGTTTGACACAGATTAAGCCAGTAAAGGATGACAATGGAAAGTCAATTGTCAAAGAGATGGAGCAAAGAAAACACAGGACTGAACACTTCAAAGGACTTCTAAATCGACCTCCACCTGCAACGCGCTCAACAATACCAGCAACGGAAGCAGATCTACCAGTGAACATCGACCCCCCGACGAAATCAGAAGTCATGAATGCAATCAAGATGCTAAAAGCTGGAAAAGCAGCAGGATCAGATGCAATCCCAGCAGAAGCATTGAAATGGACCCAGAGACAACAGCGGACTTTATGACACCATTGCTAGAGAAGGTGTGGAAAGAGGGCAAGGTACGTGAGGATTGGAAGGAAGGATACTTATTCAAACTACCAAAGAAAGGAGACTTAGGTCAATGCAAGAACTGGCGCGGAATTATGCTCCTGTCCATCCCAAGCAAAATACTAAGCCGCATCATCCTGGACAGAATCGAACAAGCCAACCTGGATGAAAAACTTCGACCGGAACAGGCTGGATTCAGGAGAAACAAGTCATGTATTTATCAAATCGCCACACTACGGATCATCACTGAACAAAGCTTGGAATGTCAGTCACCTCTCTATCTCTTTTAACTTCATCGACTTTGAAAAGGCCTTCGACAGCCTAGGGTCGATCGAGTGGTCATTTGGCAACTACTTCGCTACTACAGGGTGCCATCGACAATTATACATCTCATCCAACAGTTATACGACAATGCTGCATGCCAAGTAATCCACAACGGGAAACTCACGGAAGCCTTCGAAGGGAGGACGGGAGTGAGACAAGGCTGTCTACTATCACCAATGATCTTCCTGATTGCAGTAGATTGGATAATGCGACAGACAACGGACAATGAGGAAACAGGCATAAAATGGACTCACACAAAAGAACTTGCAGGATCTGGACTTCGCCGATGATATAAGTCTGATTTCCCACAAACTGGAAGATATGCAAGTCAAAAGCAACATGCTGGCAGAAGAAGCATCCAGGATAGGACTTCAAGTGAACATAGATAAAACAGAGGTGATGAAGATTCCTGGCCAACACCAACAGCAACAACAATCAGCCAGCATAAATGGGAGGAACCTGAAAGAAACAACCTCCTTTATCTACCTACTTTTCTGAGAAGCATCGTTTCAACTACAGGCGGAACTGACGAGGATATCAAAGCCGGAATCGGAAAAGCAAAACAAGCTTTCATTACTCTTAAGTCTGTGTGGAAGTCAACAGCACTGAGCATCAAAAATGAGATCCGGATTTTCAACTCCAATGTAAAGTCAGTGCTACTATACGGATCAGAGACTTGGCGCGTCATAAAGAGCATCTCAAACAAACTTCAGACCTTCATTAACAGTTGTCTTCGCTCAATACTCAAGATCAGATGGCGAGAAAAGATCAGCAACAGGAAAGGATCTCTGGGAGCGAACCAACCAGGAACCGATTGTGAAACAAATAGGTTTTCAGGAAGAAATGGAGATGGATTGGCCATACGCTGAGGAAACCATCAAGTGACATCACTAGACAAGCCCTCGAGTGGAACCCGAAAGGGAAGCGGGGAGTTGGTCGTCAGTGCAAGGGTGACTTGGAGGTGGTCATGTGAAGAGGATATGAAAGCATGTGGGCAGACTTGGAGCGGGGTGAAAATGTTGGCAGAAAACAGAAGGCAATAGAGATGCGCAGCTGAAACCCTATGTTCCTCTAGGAATTAAAGGATATAATAATAATAACAACATAACAAGAATTATTATTTAAATTATTTAAACTCATAAAAACTTGGTACAATATGGCACCAAGAAAGATGCGCCACAATAACAAGAATTAACATAAAATATGAGAAAGCCTGTTGTATAGAAACTATAAACACGCCATAAAATGTTTGAATTTTCTGACTATTCATCTCCATTATACCGCCCACTTTCCCGTTCCCGTTAGATTTTGATAACTTCAGTTTCAAGATATCTCTTTCATGTACTTTCATGAATATCTTCTTTCTTTCTTCAATATATGCTGCTTCTCATGTACGCATTTTAACCTGTCGACACTTCTTGTTGTAAGAACATTTGTCGTGGAGTTTCTTCCGTATAATTTAACAGAAGCTTTGTTTATCGAATCAACTGCAAATACGTGTAATAGAAATGATTCAACACCTGTCCCAGATATCTGGATAATTCTACTACCACAATGACGACAAATAGGAGAGGATAAAGGGAACTATAAAACTCAAGTTTCAAAGCCGTGGGATTACAATTGATATGATTATGAACAATAAATTTTGTTGGGAACGTCATTTAGTAAATAATACTGTTTCACTCTGTGTGTGATACATTTAATAAACAAACTAATATGGAATTACTTACTATCAGTGCCCAAGTTTTAAACATATGCTAAACAGCGTGTTTTAAAGCATCTAAGTGTGCGTCGGTGGTATAGCGGTTAGGACATTCGCCAACCATGCACATGGTCCGGGGTTCGATCCCCGGCTGACGCACACCTTTACCTCTCTAAGCCAGAAATAATTCTGGTAAAGAGGAAAGGTTGGGCATGAGGCTAGCAACCCCATCCTGTAAAATAAAAAAAACTGCTACAGAAACTTCAAGCTACTAGCTTGAAGCCCTATGTTCCACTGGGGAACGTGAAGGAAAAATTATTATTATGAATCAAGTATAGACACTCAATGATTTTAAAATAATTACGATTTCTCTTCCGTTTTTTTATTTTAGCGCGAAAAGTCTACAAACACATATTGGAATCTAAACCAATGGTACGTAGACGCTCGACGAAATGTGCTGCTCCAAAGAATTCTGAACCAGCTCCTGAAGAAAGGTAGCCACTTTCAATGAAATAAAATAAATACCTGTAGGTCTTTCGTTAACCCATCAGCTGTCAGTGTGCATCTCTTCTGTCCTATATGCCAGGAGGCATTTTCTAATCCTCAGCGTGCACCATGCGGCCATTCATTTTGCAAAAGTGTAAGTGTTGTCTAAGTATCACTTTAACTATATTTGTTTATACATGAATAAAGAAACTAACGACTGTATCTGGCTAGTGGTAACTAGCAGTACACATTTTGTCCTATATAATGGGACTCATCAACTAAGAGTGTTCGTAGTAGAAAACAAACAACGTGCTTACAGAGACTGCACATTTTAGAGCCTTGAGATGTGGTATCAATAAATATACGCGGATAGCATTGCAGGGTGACTAGGATAACTTGATACACTATGCATACCTATCTGCAGAATAGTACTGACAGTAGTAGGGAAGCAAAAGGATGGGGAGGGGGTGACAGGTACACAAGAGAATGATGATCAGGAAGGCTTTGTGTGCTTATTATTCTTGTTCCCCCATTCACACTTCTGTTTGGCATCTCTCGTTTGAATCTCTCTTAACTGTCTTCTCTTGCCTTGTGTACTAAATGGAGGGAGTGTAGCAACTCACTCGAACTACTGTACATCTGTGCCAAGTTCTCTGTTGAAACCAGTCAGTGATTTATTTGTTCTATTCATCTGTAATTCAGTGGAACCGAAAAATTCAAGTGAAATTAGAGAGAATTGGGCTAATCATTACTCATGGGAGGCACATTCACTTGTCCTCACACCGTAATAATAATAATAAATGCCAGTACATGGATGAAAACAAAACAAATTCTTCATAATGATTTTTAATCCATAAAATGGAAGTGTTCATTAAACACACAGGAATGTAGTCAATTTCCTAATATATAGAATTTTTTAGTGTGTTTTTTTCACCGTCTTTGTTTTTAGTGTATCGATCCGTGGATTCGTGACTCGCCTACCTGTCCGGTTGATCGTCTGCCTATCCCAAAAGGATCCATGCACCATGATTTCATAGTTGAAAATATAATAGGCGAATATATGGTAAGTCATTGTACGTATGGTGAGAGTATCGTTGGCATTCGTTTATACTCTCTTTTTCAAGTAATCATTTGCTAATAAAATGTACAACTGAAGGAATTTATGAGAAAAAAGTGGAAGAAAATCCACTCACGATATAAGTGCACAAGTGTTAGTAGTCGCGTTACCTACTGATGATAAAGATGGTCACTGATGCCAACCAACATTGTGACTTCATTGTTTCATTGGGGAATGTGCTAAATTTGATTTTATATCCAGACTGAACCAATTATGTTATGGAATTATTTTATATTTATTTATTTAAATGCAGAAAAAAACTTGGTACAATGTGGCACCAAGAAAGATGCACCACACTAAATTTCATTTGTTGTGTGAGGGCTGAGATACTGCCCGGCCGCCCAGACCGAAGCAGGTGGTTTTCTTAAGGGACCACCCTCGGGCCTTTGACTTGGATTTCATGGCTGTCGGTGACCCATATGGGTTCATACGCCATGTGACCCGATTGGATACTGGAGCCCATGTACCCCATGGTAACTGCTTTTAGTTTGACCGCTATCCAAACAACCTTCCTGACATAGTAGGGCCTGCAGGGACAGGTCCCAGTCAGTTTAGCATGTCGGGTCATTACGGTATTCAAACCCAACCACCACGACAAGGTAGCAGTTATCGGCCGGGGGAGATGGGTTGGACAGTCGCTGAGGAGGCCGATGGGTGACGTCGCGCGCGCGTCAGGCCATTGCTCGAGTGGAACCAGGCCGAAAGGGAAGCGGTGAGTGGGTCGTCAGTGCAAGGGTGATATGGAGGAGATCGTGTGAAGTGGAGTTGAAACAGTATGGACTAACATGGACGCGGAAGACAGAAGCAAGTGGAGACGTGCAGTTGAAGCCCTATGTTCCACTAGGTACCCAAGGGAGCAATAACAATAATACATAAGTAACTGCATTCTATATCCCGTGTGTGTGGTGAAGTGGAATGTAGGTGTGTCGTGCGTTTGGCAACGAGCAAACATCAGTCCATCAGGTTGTGAAGGTATATCGGTTGAGATAGTTAGAACATGTATTACTCATGCGCGCCTAGCCATCGCATTTTCCGATGTGCTTATGTTAGCTGACATAGGATGGATCAAGAGGCAGGAAAGGAGCTAATGGGTGGTCAAACCAAAACATGGCTTCATCAGTCAATCAAATTCACAACAGTTAGTTTAAGCCAGCCACATATGGCCGCGTAGAATGCTTGGTTGTTGGAGGTCCTCGCAACGGTAAGAACCAATGGTTGGAGGAAATTTTCAATATGGTTCAAAATCATTCTCAATGACAGCGCAGATGAATTCACTCTTTGTGTGATATATCATATCCAATAAACTCCATCGTCCTTCCATATTACTGTTCCGTTTCCTTCACCCACACCAGTGTTTATTATCTCTTTTGAGCGTGTCTTCTCTTGCTTCGTGTGCTGCATGCAAAGGAGGGACTGTAGCAACTCGAATCGCTATAAATCTGTGTCAAGTTCTATGTTGAATACAGTCAATTATTGTTTCGTCTCGCTGTTCGTTATGCTGCAACTGATTCCCATCCACACCTACACTGTATTCTGTGTCGTCAATTGTTTGTTAGACAATTAATTCCTTTGCGTTCTGATTTGTGAACAGGGGCGGAGGATTGTAAGCTTAAGGATTAAAATTTTGAAGTAGCCGTATTCTTATTCTTTCTATTCATCTACTTTAGTTTATTTTAATTTCAGGTATCATGTCCTTGGCGTTCTCTAGGATGCGATTTTATCGGTCGCTTGTGCATTTTACCCAGTCATAAAAAAATGTGTCCAATGAATCCTGAACATCTTCCTGCAGAATTACGTAATCGTATTATGGTTGGTTTACAAAATACAACGAACGGAAATCAATCTTCAGACTTGAATTGTTATTCATATAATGAAAAGCTGTCGAAAGCTCAACAGGAACCTGCTCCTCCTACAGTCACAAGTGATGACAGTAATGAAAGTAATGCATCAACTAGTCATGAGAATAGTCTACTGTCACAGAATGTTGGTCCCAGTCTATATGACACTAGAAATAATGAAAGTGTTGATGAAGATCACCTTCTGCCTGCTCCACCACCTTGCCTGTTGTTTCGATTATATCAAAATTCTGATGAGAATGGTCGTAGTCTATTATGTAACTTTCTACGAAGTGATCAACCTTCTGAATCTACTTCTACCAGTGCAGGTAATAAACGACGCCGTAGAAGATGAAATCAATGCGATCCAAACCATTTTTCAATTCGAATGGCATTTGTGATCCGTGCATTTAACATTCCATTGAGTGTAAATTTCAAATTAAAACTCTTCTCTATGCGTAATTTCTCTTTCATTTTGAATGTGCATACATGCTGTAAATATATATACAGGGAACATTTTAAATTTTGTTAACATTTAGAGGTTAAATCAGTGAATAAACTTGTAAAGCCAATTTAAGATATGGTGTACTCAAAGAATTTGCCTTAATTCAACGTCCAAATATCTGATACCTAAATAGAGTAATTAATCATTTGTTGGTGGTCAAGATTTGTAAGTTTGGCATGTCTTCTTGAACTGTTCGCAATATTAACAAAAGCCAGTGTTCGCACAGTAGGTGGTTCAGTGGGAGAATGGTCGTCAATCACGCTCGGCGCGTCCGAGGTTCGATTCCCGGCCGATGCACTAATGAACCTCACTAAGCCGGTAGTAAGCCTGGTAAAGAGGGAAGGTATGGCGTGAGGCTAGCAATTCCACTCCGTAAAAATGCAACAACTGCTATCGTAACTTCAAAGCTCTAGCTTGAAGCCTTATGTTCCATTAGGAACGCGAAGGAGTAAAATTTAAAGAAACAATAGTGTCTGCACTCATCTTTCAGGTGAACTGTCAGAAGCAATTGTGAAGTTCGTTATCTGTGAGTAACACATGACATGTGCGTCGGTGGCACAGTGGGTAGGACTCTGGCCAACCATGCACATGGTCCGGGGTTCGAGCACACGCCGACGCACACCTGATATCTATGGTCGGCCTGCGAAATTTGGGCTACCGATATCCACGCTGAAAATTCCATACTTGTACCAAAAATACAGTGTGGAATCAAGCTGTAATCAAAAATTAAATTTCCAATCGCTTAGCTGAAGCCAAGGGAACGTCGGCCAATGTGAATACTTTATAATGCTGTCACTAAATTAGTATGGTCGTCAAAATTCGTGTTTACAACGCTTGGTTAGGTACACATGTGAAATCTGGTCTCTTCTGGCTCCAGATGTGCGATGAGTCTGGTTTCGATAGTCGCATAGAGTGACTTGCATCCAGTGAGTGGCGCCTGTTTGGAAGGAGTGTCAATTGTCTTTCAGAAACTGACAACACCTTAGGATTCCCGTGGTTCAGACATGCTTGATGAACGTCACTCCTTTCATTTTTGCCGGGTCTGCTTGAACTCCGATCGTTTTTTGTCCTACCATGTGTGTGTGTGCGCGCGTGTACCTGAATGGAATTTATGAATTTATCGATTTATAAATATGTCCGCCCTGCGTTTGAAGATGGAATCGTGGAATGTTTCAGCATTATGTTGTCTCTTTAGCTCTATGGAGGGTAGAACTATGTAGTCATTTTTGTGTCAGACATCAGAAATTTTGGATAGAATACCAAAATTTTTGTTACTTGGAGGAGTAGAGTCAAATATATCATTAAGGCTATAACTTTTTCATATGTCTCCTTGCCCGTTCAAGGATATCCGCTAACCACTCCGCAATCTGATGATATGGGGAGTTGAGACACCATGTCTATAATATTTCGAAGTGGGACATCCTTCTTATGCACCTCAGACAATCCATATTGTCTCGGGATAAACTGAACTGCATGGTTTTGTTTGTTCATTCATCTATGTCATGATTGAATTTTCTTTCATTTTCTTCAGTAATTATGCAAGGAGGTTTTCTGTTCTTTCCAGTTGGGTGATTTGAAGAATTTGGCATTTGTCTGATAGTACGTTTGTTTGTTTCTCGACATTATCTGATTTGTTCAATACAAAAATCCTATTCCACTAAATCAGGACGTGAGGATTATGTCTTTATTTTTCTGAAGTTGTTTTGTGCCTCCCTTCGTAATCAGATAACAATGACTCAGTTGTGCACGCATGTACATGTAGCGGCTGTCGAAAATTGCAGCTTTAAATTGTTCGAGATGTTTTTCAGAATTAGGTGTGACAAATCAAATATCTGCAAAGTTAGATTCTCGAACTGAACTTTAGTCTGTAATTCATTGATATTTCTCAATACATCACAAAATTGTGGACCATGTGATTACAGTTGGAGTTGGATAAGGCATGAGAGATATAGTTGAACAGTTGAACACGTGTTTTTCAGGATTCTGCGGAATCGATGAGACATTTCAGGCTTTATGTTAGTCAGGAACTAGCATAGCATCTCAACGTTTCTGTATAGCATTGGGAACATAATCCTGAAACCTTTCTCGTTCCTCAACAGACAGTTCATCGGAAGCACGGGTTCGGTGCGTGTCTATAACAGCGGGGAATGACAGTGTGATGCAAAGTGTTTAATACTGCCGACATCTGCATGTCAAGATACCGGTTAAATTTGATGCAGCTAATAAGTAGGGATAGGTAAGGATTCTTATAGGGTTTTAAGTGTCGGCGTAAAACTCATTGGAAGAGGCATTTCGCTGGACTACCGTGTTATCATAATAATATTATACGAGAATTGTAAAAGGATCATCAATCAAATAAGACTGCTCATAGAATTTCGCGTTAAATAAGGTGGGAACTGCCTAAGAAGCATGCCTCGAACCACTCAGCATGTGCGAGTACGCGTAGGTTTGTGAAACTATTATCCTCGATTGTTTCTTTTTCACTGAGTAGTCCTGTGGGGACTTGATTATCAATTTTCAAGATTTTGGAGTATATTAGAAGGCAATGTACAGCTGGGGTAAGGCAAAAGTTTCTTGCCAGCTCAGTGGTTGATTAGTCCAAACACCCTTTTGACAGCTTCTAAAGTGTAAATATTCATCCTACGGACACCTGTTTTATTCGCTTAAGTCTATGATAGCATTTGATTTCGTTGACCGAGAGGCAGTCTGATACTGCGAAATATTGGTGGAATGACCAGCGATGATTACTAATTAGGAACCCAGGTAGACGCAGCCAAGACCAGGCTTCGAAACCAGGACCTTCCAGTTACATGGGGATGGCGTAGACCACTCAGCCATCATAGTCTGACTCAGTTGCCTGAAGTAGGAATAGGCAGTTGTCCAGTACTTCCTTCTGGTTTTCAATAGTTCACCAAGCAAAATTATAGTGAGAACGTTACTCTGGTCAGAGTAGGGCGACTGGATGCATGTGGTGCTTTTGAATGCAGAAGTCCAGTTTCAGATACCGGATAGCCATTCTAACGTTAAGGACAAGATACCGCTTTTGGCGGTTCCCAGTGGAAGATAGGGCTTTGAAGTTTCAGTACCAGTGATGTTTCTTTACGGGGTAAGGTTGCTAGCCTTACGCACAACCTTTCCTCTTCGCTTGCCATACTGTGGTGAGAGCTGTCTGCTAGCCAAAATTACTAGACAGCAATTTACGTCAATTTCTACTTCCCGTATCTTGGTCATGAGAGAAAAAGCAAGAACAAAGACTAACTCAACAACCAATCACAGCAGACTTTGCGTGGGCGGACACGATTAGCAGATATATCAACGGACTGTCTAAGAAACGGCAACAAAGAGATGACAGAATGACCTTCAGCAGGAAAACAACCAATCAGAAGACGTTGCCTCTCTGCTAACAATAACGAATAATACTGTACATAAAAATCTATAAATGTCTGTTGGTTTTCTCAATAAACGATCTGTTGTCAGGCCCATGTCTTCTGTTGTTACAATACTACCAGTAAAGGAGTGCGCCAGCTAGGGGTCGGACCCTGGGCCACTTGCGTGATTGGCCAGTGTTCTACCAGTAAACCGCCGACGCACCGAGTAATATTAATAATAATGTTGAGATAACGCTACTGATAGAAGATAGTTTTAACTGAATCAGGAATAGTAATAATAAGAGGTAGAATAAAATATTATTACTAATAATAACAGTTTTTAAGTAGAACATATTAACCAGGGTAGATTCCAAGTGACCACCATTTCCTTTTGTACATAGAGACCTGGTTTATAAGCTTTATGGGGAGACGTGAAAGTAGTTACGGAATTCAATACAAGCTATTATGTAATCAACGAATTCATAAAATAATTACGACCAAGGAGAATTACATAAGGATACCGATATGTAAACAAGTTAAATGAATTAGCTAGAATAGTAATAAAAATAAAAATAAGGACAAGTGACAGTGACAAAGGGATGGAGATAATCACTTATGAAACTTAATGCATGTTGTGTAGATCGTCATGGGAAGAGAAAGGAGCTGCAAAAATTTCTTTTGAACACACAGAACTGGCTTGTTCATCAGATGAATTCCAATGGCCTCTGCTGAATGTAAAAGTCATACTTCTAGAGCATGCAACAGACTGGTTGAAATGCAATAAATAACTTTGAAAGCTTTGTCAAAGTCAGCCCGATATCTGGTATAGATGAGATAAGCTAAAATGGAGTTACGTACAACGAAAACTAGCAAAGTCTTCGCAACGACCGTAAACAGTGGTGGGCGACAAAAGCGAAAGAGATGGAAAAGGCATTTGTGATTGGTAACACCAGACAACTATTTAGGCTTATAAGGGAAACAGGTGATAAAAGGCGAGTAATAAGTGAAACAATCTCTGAGAAAAATGCCACCATAATTAGCTCCCAGGATAGATGACTGGAACGCTGGAAAGAGCACTATGAGGAGCAGTTTAATTGGCCTACAGTCGCTCTCAACCTGCCGAACATCCAACACCTCCCTGAATGGGATATAGACACAGATCCCCCATACCCAACTGAGGTTACTAAAGCTGTCATTAGTCGGAAACAAGGTAAAGCAGCAGGACCTGATGGAATGACTCCAGAGGTATTTAAGTACGGTGGAGACAGTTTACTGTCTGCATTAACTGAGGTACTAGGCGGCGTCTGGGAATCAGAGGAAGTCCCATCAGGTTGGTGTAAGTCACTGATTATCCCCACATACAAGAAGGGAGTCAAGTCTTCCTGTGATAATCACAGAGGGATTAGTTTGACTAATATCGTATCTAAAGTCCTAGGCTCAATAATCATGCGTAGACTAAGTGGTGCTCGGGAGGCACAAACACGAGAGAGCCAGGCAGGCTTTAGACCAGGAAGAGAGTGTATTGGTCATATCTTCACCCTCTGACAGATTCTAGAACATAGTCATTCCTACCGGCGTCCAACAATCATTATACTTCTGGACCTAAAGGCGGAATTCGATTCTGTCGACCGAGAGGTACTCTGGCGATGCTTGGATGTAAAGGGAATGACGAGAAAATACATTGCACTAATTAAGACACTCTACTCGAACTCATGCCATCAGCCAGGTGATGGCTTACGGCGGGTTGTCACCTGAAGTGGTGACGAC